CTGCTTCAAAGGTAATGGTAATCTGTTGTGAGAGAAAAAAAGTTACACTACTACAAATAATAGGAGATCACCTATATATATTTTTAGGAGATGTAAGTAATTTGATGGGATCTTAGCGATTGCTCTTATGGGCTTGTATATGCTACTCCTTTCGTTCTAAATTATAAGATATTTTAGCATTTTTGATACATAGCTTTTGTTATATACTAAGATATACATTATATTTATAAATATATAGTAAAAATATTGTATTTTAAAAAGTTAATACATCTTACAAAATAGCATATGCTATCACCCGGTGAATAATCACAACTCACAAGTGCACAACAAATACAATAAGGGAAATAAAATATATTAGCACAGAGTATGTACTTTCGAGAAAATCAACCAAGCTACTAACGTAGTGAAGCATCAAAGAGTACAAGTGCACTCAGGGCCCGTTTATATTCCAAAAAATTTTACGTAGTATCCGTCACATCGAATCTTGCGATACATGTATGGAGTACTAAATGTAGACGAAAAAAAAACTAATTACACAGTTGGGTGAGAAATTACGAGACGAAACTTTTAAACCTAATTAATTCATAATTAGACACTAATTATCAAATACAAACAAATTGCTACAATAGTCAAAATCCAAAAAAATTTTGGATCTAAACGGGGCCTCAGCAGTGACTCACCCGCTCACAAACTTTCGTTTTCGGACAGAGCACACGGAGAGGAGAGTACCGTGCGTGCGCGATCTTTCTTTCCCAAATAATAATAATACTCCGCGCGGCGCCGACACAACAAGCACAGAAGACAGGCAGGGCAGCAGCGCCCACCTGGCCACCTCCCAGTCCCCTGTCCAAATCTCACCGCCGCTCCTTCCCAGTCCCAGATCCAGGATGTCCTCCTCCGACACGGACGACGTCCCCGACGGCGGCGAGGATTCGCCCCTCTTCCGCCGCAGCGGGGGGCCCTCCTCGGGCAGCGCCGTCGGCGACGTCCCCGTCTCGCAGTCGCTCATCAAGGCGGCAAGCAACGTGTGCTTCTCCCTCTTCGTGCTCGCCGTCCTCGTCGTCACTGTCGTCGCCGTCACCTACCAGCCGCCGGACCCCTGGTTCCAGTCCTCGGCCGCCATCACCACCTCGCTCTCCCGCGTCCTCCCCAACTCCACCTTCCTCGTCCCCGATGACTCGCTCCTCCCCACCGGCGAGGACTTCAACTCCTCCTCCGCCATCCCGGCCCCGGCGCGGGATGACGACGACGCGGCCGCGGCCGTCAGCGCCGCCTCCGCCGCCGCCGCGGGCAACAGGACCTGCGACCCGGACGCGCCGCTCAACTGCTCCGACCCGCGCGTCCTCGCCGCCGTCAAGGCGTTCAACGCCAAGGCCTTCTTCCGGAAGTCCATCGTGTTTCTCAGCTACGAGACGCCGGTGCCCGGCCCCAAGCCCGGCCAGTGCGACGTCGCCTGGAGGTTCCGGAACCGCCGGGAGAAGTCGTGGCGCCGCTACAGGGACTACCGCCGGTTCAGCCTCGCCTCGGGCGATGGCTGCGCTCTTGACATCGTCAGCGTCGGCAAATTCCGGTCGGGGACGAATGCAGCTCGCCGGCCGTATCCTAAAGGTCCGAAGAGGCCCCGTGTATCGCCGCCGCCTGTGGATGCGGAGATCAATGACACGATCCCCGTCGTCGGATCAGAGGCAGAGTTCAAGAAGGGAAAGTACTTGTACTACATGAGAGGCGGTGACCACTGCAAGAGCATGAACCAGTTCATTTGGAGCTTCCTGTGTGGGCTTGGTGAAGCTAAGTTCCTCAACCGGACGTTCGTGATGGATCTGAATATATGTTTGTCTGGGGCACACACGGTGGATGGCAAGGATGTGGATGGGAAAGATTTCCGGTACTATTTTGATTTTGAGCACTTGAAGGAGAGTGTGCCAGTGGTGGAGGAAGGGGACTTCCTGAAGGATTGGAAGCGTTGGGATAAGAAGAAGGGTCCAGGACGGATCACAGTGCGGAAGGTTCCATCGTACAAGGTAACACCGATGCAACTGAAGAGGGACAAGAGCAACATCATCTGGAGGCAGTTTAATGGCCAGGAGCCTGAGAATTACTGGTACCGAGTTTGCGAAGGGCGAGCTGCCAAGGTCATCCAAAGGCCTTGGTATGCTATTTGGAAGTCGAAGAGGCTGATGAACATTGTGACTGAGATTGCAGGTAGGATGGATTGGGATTATGATGGTTTGCATGTTGTCCGAGGGTGGAAGGCGCAGAACAAGCAAATGTATCCAAACCTGGATTCTGACACATCGCCTGATGCACTCGTTGATAAGGTGACCAAGCTTGTTGAGCCATGGAGAAATCTCTACATCGCAACTAATGAGCCGTTCTATAACTACTTCGACAAGCTCAGGTCACACTTCCATGTCCATTTACTTGATGATTACAAGGAGCTCTGGTCAAACACTAGTGAATGGTACAATGAGACAACAACGCTTAGTCAGGGTAAGCCGGTGCCATTCGATGCATACATGAGGGTGATTGTGGACACTGAGGTATTTTACAGGTCGAAGGCACAAGTTGAGACGTTCAACAACTTGACAAGGGATTGCAAAGATGGAATCAATACGTGCAACTTGTGACACATGAGTTCACGTTTTGATTATTTATTGGTGTTCATATACTCTTCCAGTGGCTGGCACATCAGAACTCAGTGGAACTTATCCAGGGTTTGTCTTTTGGCATACCATCACAATGTATTTCTTGTCATGGAATGTTTAATTGGTTTCATGTTTATCTGAGTTGTGTGCTCTCCATTCTTTTCTTTTCTTTTTGTAGTTTATGTACTACTCTTCCGGTCCAGAGTTCAAACGTCCAAAAATGTGTACTTAGTGGGCAATTTGCAACATCTCTGCTCTATGTACCCCACTAAATTAGGGGAGCACTATAGCTTCATAACTTATCTGTTTTCATGAGTCACATGCATTTTGCCAGAATATTTGAAGTAGGAAACGAATTCATATATATTACTCCCTCAATTCCAAATTATAAGTTATTTCAAGAATCTTGGAGAGTCAAAGCAAAGAATCTTGGAGAGTCAAAGCATTTTAAGTTTGACCAAAATTATAGAGAAAATTACAAAGATTTATGACATCAAATAGGTATACTATGAAAATATAATTGATGAAGAATCTAATGATACTTGATTGGCACCATAAATGTTATTATCTTATCATATAAATTTGGTCAAATTTGAAATGGTTTGACTCTTCAAAATTTTTGGAATGACTTATAATTTAGAATGCAGGGAGTACACTAGAGCAAAGTATAGATATACTGTGCCCATCAAACTATGAAATTACTATATATATGCACGACCTGTGTAATCTATAACATACTTGCCTTCATCATGATCATGTGGAATTGCTAGTTGACCAGGGTTAAACTATTCAAGTTCAAGCTGTGTGACAGGCATAGAGCACAAGGGACAGAACCACAAGTCCATACAGAATTTTAGGTATAGCTAGCTTTTGTTGGGTGACAGGTGACATCATCCACCTATGCAGGTTATTTTAGTGTAAGGCCATGTTTGGTTCATACGGTCGCTCCTAAAATTTCTGTCACATCGAATATTTGGACACATGCATAGAGTATTAAATATAGACTAATTACAAAACTAATTGCACAACTTACGACTAATTTGCGAGACGAATCTTTTAAGCCTAATTAGTTCATGATTTGACAACGTGGTGCTACAGTAAACATGTGCTGATGACAGATTAATTAGGCTTAAAAAATCGTCTCGCAAATTAGCCTCCATCTATTTTAATTGGTTTTATAATTAATCTATATTTAATGCTCCTTATTAGTATCTAAATATTCGATGTGACATGAATTTTAGGAGCGACTAAAAAACAAAACATCCCCTAAACCACAGAAATCAGATTTCACAGTTAGTTCAAAGGAAACCTATCAATCAAATGCCACCTGGCATTGTTTTACGTCTTCAGTCTAAACTTCACTATCACATAGGAGAAGGTTGGTAGGACAAATCCTTCACAATGATAGCGCACCGATTGTTAGATCAGCTGTCATTCTCAACGTATTATCATCTCTTGGAGCAGCTGCAGTGCAACTACATTTCACATGGTAGTTTTTCTGGGCTGTTGCTTTCAATAGAAAAGAGTAAACTCTGGTCACTAAATTTACCAGAGGATGTTTTTCGATTACTCCCTGATGTAAGTTTTGAATAATAATGATGATGGTTGTTAAATTGCTATTGTGATTGAATTGTATGGCATTTTGCTTGGTTCTAGTATCGATACATACATACTGAGGGTTCTCGGAAATTTAGGTGGGGTTTTGCTACAGAAGTTGATGTAATATAAAGTGAAGATGGGAACATACAGAGTTCTTTCTTAACAGGCTTTTGTAAACGCAGAGTATGAACAAAACCAGAATATACGTCGATGTTTAATACCGTTACCGGTTCCCATGTCTAGAATCATTGGCACATCAGTACCCTGGTGCAGCGCTGCCCTGGTGCAGAACAATTATCAGGAGTCAAGACTTTCCATACGTCCGCGGTCGCGGCTTCTTGGGCTAGCAGGCTTCTAGCTACGCGGGCTGCCCAACTCCCTCAGGCCCAAGTTTAAGCACAGGCAGCGGCCCGACTCGGCTCGGCCTCTCCAATCCTCCGCCTCCCCCTCCTTCCCCATCCCCTCCTGGCACCCGCCCCGCCACCGCCATCTCTCCGCGCCGCCGTCGTAAACCTAGCCAGCCATCTTCCCCGCCCAAACCTTCCGACGCCGGCCGCTTCCTATCTCAACCACTCGCCGCTTCTCCTGGTCTTTTTTCACGCCGATTACGTGGCGCAGCTACTCGTGCTCCTCACCTACGTCTCCAGCGCTTCTGCTCTCCGCCGCCACTTCCGTCGCTCGGTCACCGTTGACTGGCGCTGCGGCTAGCTGAGTGTTAACTGAATTCTAGGGATAGTTAGCACCGGACCCCACGACATGGAGGTCGACGGCGAGACACAGCCTTTCCGCCTATTCTCCAAGAGGGGCAAGTCCAAACCCAGGTTCAAGCTCGAGCCCGAGGTCCAGCCCCAGCCGGAACCGGAACCCCCAAGCCCTGACCCCGCCGCGGTCGCCGCCGAGGTCGACCACCCCCCGTCTCCCACCATCGTGACCGAGACCGGCCAGGCCGACGACGCCGAGGTCGCGGCCGGTGCGGCGCCGGCGACCTTCGCGGACCTCGGCCTGTCGCAGTGGCTGGTGGACGCGTGCGACGCCCTGGGCATGCGGCGCCCCACGGCGGTGCAGCGCCGGTGCATTCCGCGCGCGCTCGCGGGGGAGGACGTGTTGGGGATTGCGGAGACTGGGAGCGGCAAGACGGCCGCGTTCGCGCTGCCCATCCTGCACCGCCTCGGGGAGGACCCCTACGGAGTGGCCGCGCTCGCGCTCGCCCCCACGCGCGAGCTCGCGGCGCAGCTCGCCGAGCAGTTCCGTGCGCTCGGGGCGCCGCTCGGCCTCAGGTGCCTGGCGGCCATCGGAGGCTTCGACTCGCTCGCGCAGGCCAAGGGGCTCTCGCGCCGCCCCCACGTCGTCGTCGCCACCCCAGGCCGCATTGCCACGCTCGTCAAAGACGATCCTGACCTTGCCAAAGTATTCGCCCGCACCAAGGTTGGCATGCGGTTTCCCTTTACCATCAACACACATGCATTATTGTTCCTGCGGATGCCTTTGTGCACTTCTCTTCTCTTTGCTCAAAATGTATGTTGTGGTTTCCTGTCCATGTATAAGGGCATACTGCAATTGCAACCTATGTTATACTCCATAGAAACCTATGCTTCTTTCTTCACTTATATTCCTAGTGAATTTTGTGTATCCAAAATAGAAAATGTAGTTGACATGTTCTATTGAAACGTAATGATCACAAACCTTTGTCTGCTTGTGTAGAAGCAGGGCATCCTGCTTTATTTGTTTTAGTAGTCAATTGATAAATCGATCTTTCTCTGAGTTTCCTTAGAGATAAAAGTCAGTACCTTAAATTGGTTTATATGCCCCCAAGGCACACTGTTTTGGGTACATGTAGATGTTCTTGGTGGAGAATTAAGACCTTTTGTGTTGTGTATCTGAAGGCCTCATATTGTTCACTGATACTATCAGAAAGTAAATAGGTTACCAGTGCATATTCCAGGATTGGTGTAAATTATGCATGCTATTGTTTATGATAGGAAGAGGCAAATTCAGTCTTTCATCCCTTTTTCTTGAGTTTGTGTGGTTTATTGTTGAATGTTAGTGCCAGATAGGGACATCCCTTTGAGTGATCTATGTTTTTATTGCACTAACACTTAAACTGTACCCTAAGAAATGTTCCATTACCATCTTTTGCTAGTTCTGGATCACTGAAGTGGTTACCTTTTGTATCACAGTTTCTTGTATTGGACGAGGCGGATAGAGTTCTAGATGTTAATTTTGAAGAGGAACTTCGTGTCATATTTGGCTGTTTACCAAAGAAGCGGCAAACCTTTTTGTTTTCAGCAACAATGTCAGACAATCTGAGATCTTTGCTTGAACTTTCCGGGAACAAATCATACTTTTTTCAAGCATATGAAGGGTTCAAGACAGTAGAGACCTTAAAGCAGCAATACATCCATGTTCCTCCTGAGGGAAAAGAGCTCCATCTTTGGTATCTTCTGTCAATTATCAAGGGAAAAAAGGAAGACCCTATCCGTTCAGCCATTGTATTTGTCTCAACTTGCAAGTATGCTCTTCTAAGTCCCTAAACATGAGTTTCCTGAAACTATGCTCTCCCCACACATAACTAGTCATCGCTAATGTTGTGTAGAATCAGAAATCTTCTTGGTCGTGTGTTTCCTCTTTATTCAGTTATTAACATTATCAGTATTATGTGCTAGAAATTAAGATATGTTCTATCACCATTTCTTTTAATTCTTTAAAAGTTTAAAAGAAATACCCATTGATTTTTTTTTCCTTTTGAAGATGTCGTCGCAAACTTCGGCAAGGCATCTGTGGCATTTTCCACTAGGGTGTTCCTATAGCCAAAGTTGCATTGGATTATGTTTTAAGTAGATGATTTGTGTGGAATGTAATCCATTTTAAAGCTTGATGTCATCACCTCATTTACCTGAATTTCTTCCATTCTTTTGCAGTGTCTGCCAATATTTAGATCTGCTGTTTGAAGAGCTTGGTTATCCTGCTGTTGCTTTGAACTCTCACAAGTCTCAGGCACAACGGCTCTTAGCACTTAACCGGTTTAAATCCGACCAGGTTCCCGTATTGATTTCCACTGATGTGGGCAGTCGTGGATTGGATATCCAAACAGTTGATCTTGTTATCAACTATGACATGCCAATGTGTGTTTATACTAAATTTGTATGCAATATATTAAAATTATTTGTCAACACTTTTTTTTTGAACTTTGTCATTTTAAAGTTCTTGTTTTTACTTGTAGGTCTCCACGTGATTACATCCACCGTGTTGGACGAACTGCAAGAGCTTCAAGGGGAGGGCTTGCTATAAGCTTTGTTACACAGGTTTGCTGAATTCTATCATTTTAAAGAAAACTCTAGCTTAATTTTCTGATGATGTAATTTACATATAAAATTAATTAACAAGAAGGTTGGTTGAACAATACCTATAGAAGAAATAGTTCTAGTTGCCTAAAGTGAGTATGTAGCAAAAGCCGTAGACTCACTGTTAATGAGTACCTCTCCCCTCTAGTGCTAGTATGACGAGTGATAAATTTCAGAAATTTAAATGAAGCAGCATACTCATGATTTTCTTGGAACAGTGCTTCAGTTTTTGCCTTTGCATCGTTTCTGACAACTGCCTTTTGTCTTTGTGGAACTTGCGTACCTATCCCGTTGTGTCTGCAGAAGGATATATGTCTTTTACATGAGATAGAAGATGATGTGGGGAAACAGTTGGAGGCCTACGAGTGCAGTGATAAAGAAGTTACTAAAGATATTACAAAGGTTTGACGTCTTCAGTTGTTTTTTCTGTTTGAAATAACCAGCTGGTTTTGCAATCTGACCAGCCCCTGCCCAAACTATTCGTATCCATCTCAACCATATGCAAACATAACAGGTGTTCAAAGCAAGACGTCTCGCGAAGATGAGGCAGAGGGACGAGGGACACAATGAGAAAGTAGAAGCCAGAAAAGAGCAGAAGAAAAGAGATCGGGCACGAAAGAGGAAACGTGAAGACTGAAACCCATGAAGGACTACGGATGGTTCATTGTTGATGGCCGCTGTGGCCGATCTAAAACGTGAGAGGCAGTTGCTTGTTAAGTCTAGTGAGTAGCTGTAAGCTCGAGGAGTCGATGGTGGCTTGTTCCAGTGAACCCATCCAGTCGACTCTTTCAGTTTTGCCGGAGAAGATTATCGTTGTGCTGTGGATGTATAAATTTAGGGGGTGGTTTCGGCAGATGTGCTAATGAATTCGTGCACGGGTGGCGCGGCAATAATGGACGAAACTTCACCATTGTTTGTCAGTACTTACTCTGTCCAGAAGGAATATGATTCTTGCCTTTTTGACGAGTTTTAATTACTCTCCAATTTGGTCAAATATATCATGTATATTTATAACCAAACGATATACTATGAAAATACATTTCATGAAGAATCTGATGATCGTTTCAAAGAAAATGAAGAATCACTTGTTTTTTATATTATAAATATGATTTTTTTTGTTAAAACGGTGAATTTTCGCATTATATGCTCTTTCCCGGACAAAGGTTGTAGATACTGTTTTCTCTGAAAAAAAAACTAGTTGAAATTAAGAAAGTTTCATTTAGTCTAAACCTAGGGTTGTCTTTTCAAAATATCAATAGTATTTATTATAAAGATTCTTTGGCTGAGGAAAAAACTATCAGCGTGTCATTGACTTCACATATTTGGTTTGGCTCGAACCATGGGAAGCTGTTCTTGTGTGATTGTATTGTAGTCGCCGTCTGTCTCGCAGAGGAAGAAAGAGTGAGAGACGAGACACGAAGGCCACAGAGGGGAGACGGGCCATCCGCTTTCAACCGTGGCTCCGCGGGAGAGCTACGTCGACAGTGGGAAAGCCCGAGCGCAGGTGGGCTCAAAACTGATATCATCGCTGGGCTAGGGCCGAGGTGGGCTTTCGTGGAGAGGCGCGCGGGACTGTAGCTTTGTAGCACTGGCATGCACAGAAGAAGGGAAGCGGAGATGGCTGCTTGCTGGCTTGCTGCCGTTTAGCACCACCTCACTAGCTGAAGTGGGACGAGCCTGGGCGCCAGCTATATGAGAGGGCGGGTGGCGGCCGATAGCAAGCACGCAGCTGCGTGGTGAGCACAAAGCGAACTATTCTTTCGCCTTTTACTAAAGAATACCGTGTGCACGCCACAAATAGCAGCATACGCTAGTTTTTGGAGGGTGATTTCTCATTTTGAGAGGGCCCCAACAATGCCAAACTAAATTTTGTATGTAAACATGTTGCTTTTTCAAAATAAAAAAATGAAATTATCTAGTATTCAAGTTCTTTTCCTGCAGAAAATTAAAATTTTGTAATCAAGCTTTTTTTCTTAAATAAAATTGAACTTAACAAGTGCTTTTCCTGGAGTAGGGATGAAAACGGTTGGGAAAGCCATTCCGCTCCTGTATTCTTTTTTTTTTTTTGACGGGAATGGGAAGGCCGGACCGGAAAACGAAACCATTACGGGAAGCGGTAACACAAAATGGGAACATCAACATATGTAACCACTTAAAACAATGAGCTCGATGCAACCATATGCAACAAAGCTAACAGGCAAAAAAAAAAATAGTTCACAATTCACAGTAAGCCAACAGTTCAAATTAAAAAAAATAGTGCATGTGAACAGGCAAGCCAACAGGCAACAGCAAGCGGCCACAAGCCCACAACCAGTCAACCACAAGTCTCCAGCCAGCAGCCACAAGCCCACAACAGTAACACAAGTAGTTTTCAATTCACAAGTCCAAATACGGACATTCAGTGGGCCGGCCGCCAGCGGACCGGAGTGGGTTGGGCTGCATCAATCAGTGATTCAGACATTCAGTGGGCTGGCGCGGGAATACGGGAATATCGTCGGGAATTTTCCTGCTCAAATACGGGAACCGTGAATACGGTCGGGAAAATCCCTTAACTGATTCCGTTCCCGTTCCTGCCTAAAATACGGTGTCGGTTTCCCATTTCCTGTTTTTCCTGCAAAAACGGTATGCGATCGGTTAATGCGGTATACGGTGTCGGTCGGAATCGAAATTTCCGTCCCGTTTTCATCCATATGGAGTAGCAGATGGGATTGATTTTCATACATAGTTCCAACAATGGCATACTAATTTTTTATAATGTAATCAAGTTCTTATCCTGCTGTAGGAGATAGGATTCTTCCTTAAGATTTGTGCAAGGTCACTTTTTAAAATTAATGTAATGTAGTGTTTGCATGGTCTTCTTGTCAATCACTTACTGTACATCTTGCAGGCATTTGTACTTGTACACCAAAATCAGACGAACACCACTGCACAAAGTTTCAGAGTAAGGCACTATCATTGGTTTCAGAGTCAAGGCACTAGCATCGGATTAGAGGCTGCATTATTTCATCATCATAATCAGGATACCAAAAGAATGAAAGAATTCTGTATTGATCACGTATTCACGTATGTGTAGCACTCTACAAGATCTACACGGGAAGCAATTTTTCACTCCCATCTTATTCTTTCTTCTATGCACAAGAAAAGAAAAGAAAGGGTCTCTCCAATCTCCATCCATCGGTTGCTTTGCTAAATGGCTGATCCGATCCGATTAACCTCTCGCCATCAGGTGGGTCCGGAACGCCTCCCTCGGCGTCAGCGGCTCGCAGCGCGACCGCTGCGGCGACGCGAACCGTGACGACGCCGCCCTGCCGCATCCCCCCGGCGCCAGCAGCTCGCGGCGCCCTCTCGCCGCCACCGGGCTGCTGCACCGCTGCGGCGAGGCGAACCGGGACGACGCCGCCCTGCCGGCCCCGGCGCCGGCGCCGCTCCGCGGCGACAGGTGCACCTGCTCCAGCGCCCGGAGCTGGAGCTCCGACGGGTAGTCCCGGACGCACACGATCCGGGGCCCCGCGCCCGTGGTCCACTTGAAGGACACCTGCTTCCCCAGCTGGTACGACTTGGTCTCCTTCTTCGAGCTGATCCTCTGCAGGATCTTCTCCCTCGGCACGGCCGTATTGTCGTCGTCGGCGGCGGCGGCGTTGTTCTCCTCTTGACTATCTTCGGACAGGGCACGGTGGCCGGTCGTTGAGGTCTCGGCGTCCTCGGTTAAATCTTGCCTCGTGACAGTTGCAGTGGGACTGAGACTCTTGCTTGCTTCTTCCTGCTGTGAGACTTCGTCAGGTGTGGTCGATTCAGTGGCTTCTTGAGGTGCCTGGCAAGGGTTGGTTTCTTGAGCTGCGGCCTGTTGATCTTGTTCAGGTTTGTCAGCAGCGGCGCAGCAGTCGGAGGGGATGCTTCTGAGCCTGCTCCAGAACTCCTCGTCGTCTTCATCTGGGCTCATCTGCGGCATTGACGTCGGAACAGTTTAGAATGCTGAATACAACAAGCAAAAATTTTGAAGCATGGCACATCTCTGAAGAGTGCTCACCTTGACATCAGTGAGGTCGACACTGTTGTCTTTGAGGAAGCTCTGGAATTCCTGGAAGTTCTCTTCAGTTGGGCGGTAGTGCCCGCTGTGTGGCCAAATAGCCTGTGAAAAAACGTCAGAATGTATCAGCGTTTTGTTATTATCTGGCAAACTTTGAATTGGATGGGAAATAATTGCATCAGCACCACTAGATGTTAGGCAGATTTGTACCTTCAGGATGCCATCTTCGACAACTAGTCGACCGGCAGCAGATGTAGCTCCTCCAGCGAGGAAGCTCGAATGCTGAAATGTGCCCTTTTTCTTCTGCAATTGGGATTCATGGACAGTCTTAGTTACATGATGAGATGGTGAGCCAAGAAGCTACTTTGTGTTATTGGCAGCACCAAGGCGGCTGAAAATTACCTGTCCAACATACAGATTCTTGGATGTGCTTAGAACAAAGATCCACTTGGCATCTCTTGGTCCACCGGATGTGTCGAGGATTTGCCTGCTCTTCTTGAACATAAACTTGCCATCCTCAATCACAACCTCATACTCTTCTCTTTCTTTCTGCACAAATACAGCTTGGATCATTATTTTCTGATTTTTTTTTCAGCAGGCAGTCTCTCGAGATACCATCTCCAAATAATTTGTGTAGGCTTACCGGACCAAGGTACTTGATGCACTGGCTCAGAAGCTTCAACCGAGGACACCGCTCAAGATTGATTTCCTTGCCTTCTCCAACGTCCAGCCTGAACAAGGCAAGCACAAGAAAGTCAGATTTTCAATAGCTGATGAAATATCTAGAAGAAGATAAAAATGTCATGTTCAGTTCAGATAAGGAGACTAACCAGTAGAAGAATGGCTCCTTGCTCTCGCACCTCAGCCAGCAGTCGTAGTAATAGTGAAGGTTATGACCGTATCGGTGGCGCGGGTCAATCTGTTCGTCAAATTTCAGCATTTCAGATGAGCACATGCTTCACATGACACGGCCTAACTCACAGCAATATATCTAATACTCACAGCTTCGAGCCAGTGCTGCAGCGCAAGTTTCTGGGCCTTCTCATCCTTGGACAACCCTTTGCCAACCTGAATTTGGTGTGATTTGCAAATGCCGTTAGTAATCTCACATCGAAAGAACTGGGACTGCTGAAAGAAGACAAACTTTTACAGGCGAGAGATGATGTGAACCGAACCTTGGCAGCTCTGGTTCTTGCCCTCGCCCACTTGGACACCGCCGACTCCTGCCTCTCGATGTCAAAGAAGGAGACGGAGCTCCGCCTGAGCAGCGCGAAATCCAGCAGCTCCCACCTGCAGGAAGCATCGATCGAGACGCACAGGTCAGCGCCTAGCAAGCACACGAACGCGGCGCAATGCGGGCGCGGATTCTGGAAGGAGAGGAAGAAGAAGTATTATGTGTAGGAAGGGCGGCGCACGCACCAGCTCTGCTCGACGACGACGGCGCAGTCGGCGAGGCGGCGGCGCGTGCGGAAGCTCTTGTACACCTTCTGCACCGTCAGGGCGGCCGCCTCGTGCTTGGGGCTCTGCGGCGCGGCCGCGGCCGCGGCCGCGGCGTCGGCGAACCTGGTCCGCGCGAGCTCCCTGGGCATGACCGGCGGCACGGGCGCCACGGTGGCGCGCGGCGACGTGGCGGGGATCTTGGTGGCGTCCACCTGCAGGCGCGCGCTGGGGCTCTGCTGCTCCCGCCTGATCAGGCTGCCGAGCGAGCCCTCGAACCGGAGCTTCCCGGAGCCCGCAGGCGACGGCTTGAGGGCCGTCGGCTCCACGCCGGCATTGCCGCCGCCGCCGCCGCCGCACCCCGGCGCCGGAAGGCCAGCTCCCGCCGGCACGTCCTCCTCTTCCTCCACGGGGCATGAGAAGAGCACGCCCATCACGACGATGCCGCTGCTGCGCTGCCCAACTCCTCCGTCCCGTGGCTGCCGGCAGGTGCTTGTGAAACTGGTTGGTGCGTGGTTGACTCAGCTGCTGGAGATCAGAGCACAGTGGAGGATGATTCGCGCTAACTACCCAAGGTGGCAGCGCGAGGCCATGGCCATATATAGCGCTGGCGGAGCGGAGGTGGGGGCGGCTCCACTCCACGTGTTCCAGGGAGAGGGAGGGTGGGGCCGTGGGGGATCCCCATGGCAACGCCACTCGGATTTCCAGAGGGGCGAGGCGATGCGGCGAGAGCGAGAGGTGCTGCCTGGCCCTGACCTGTCCTGGTCAGTGGTCAGTGAGAACTGAGAAGCTAGCGACCGTGTATGGATGGATGGATTCACGGGCGGTGACGGCGAGGTCGCTCGCTTTGCTTGGTCGTCGTCTCGTCGGGCAAACGCACGGTCGGGTACTCGGGTACATGTACTGTACTGCAGCACTATGCCGCAGCTCCCTCTGTGACCACTGGCCGGTGATCTTTTGGAATGGCATTGCAGCCCGAACACAGAGACCTAGGTTAGATTTTTCCCCCCCTTTTGAGAATCATGCTGGAGTGTCAGTTAGGCGCGTTTACTTGCCCCAAAGTTGGCGCCGCCTCAAATCCTGTAGTCACCGTCGGCACTGTAGTATTTTGTTTGTATTGGGTAATAATTGTCCAATCGTTGATTAATTAGGCTCAAAACATTCGTCTCGCAAAGTACAATCAAACTGTGCAATTAGTTTTTTATTTCGTCAACATTTAGTACTCCATGCATATATTGTAAGTTTGATGTGACGGGAAATTTTCTTTTTATATAGTGCAAAAGTTTGAATTCGGGTGAACTAAACATGGCCTTAGATATTTGAAAATTGTTTTTTTACTTAATTTTTTAGCAAGTGTTATCGTAACAATTATTTACGGCAAAGCTATCGGTTCTCACTCGGGGCTTGTTTAGATGCAAAAAATTTTGTAAAATAAGTACTGTAGTGTTTTCGTTGTTATTTGGTAATAGTATCTAATCATAGTCTAATTATGCTTAAAAGATTCGTCTCGTGGATTTTGTCTAAACTATGTAATTAGTTTTATTTTTTATTTATATTTAGGGCCTGTTTGGTTACCACATCCCCTCCTAAAATTACTGTCACATCGAATGTTTGGATACATGCATGGAGTATTAAATATAGACTAATTACGAAACTAATTACATAACTTGCAACTAATTTCCGAGACGAATCTTTTAAGCCTAATTAGTCCATGATTTGACAACGTGGTGCTACAGTAAACATGTGCTAATGATAGATTAATTAGGCTTAAAAAATTCGTCTCGAAAATTAGCCTCCATTTATGTAATTGGTTTTGTAATTAATCTATATTTAATGCTCCTTATTAGCATCTAAACATTCGATGTGACATAAATTTTAGGAGCGACTAAAGAACCAAACACCCCCTTAATACTTTATGCATGCGTCCAAAGATTCGATGTGACGGAGAATGTGAAAAATTTTGTAAATTTTTTTGCAAACTAAACTGGACCTCGATCTGGCGTCCGTCCAATCTGCCCTCTGAACGGCGTGCAGCAAGCGGTCACGGCCCTGGTCGCGGTCGTGTCGGACTTGCCTGTGCGTAAACGGGCGTGGCCTGTGCAGGTGTATGATGACGTGATAGGTGCAGGTGCAGGCGCAGGCCATCCCAAAAAAGAAGTGCAGGTGCAGGTGGCCAGCATGCATGCTAACCCGTGTAGATTTATTCTTTTAGTAGAAACAGAATACATCTTATTAGGACATATTTTATAATTTTTATTTTATTGTAAATTTAGTGTTTAATTGGTGTAAATAGACTATTTGTAAATGAAAATGGTCAGAATTTCTCTAACAGTTATCCGATTATTTTTTTGGTTTTTTATTTTATTTTTTGTATATTTCATTTGGCTTTCCTTTAAATTTTTTAATTTGGCTTTCATAGAAATAATCTGGGTACTCTTTTTTTATTTTCTGTATGTTTTATTTGGTTTTCCTTTGAATTTTTTTCAATTTAGCTTCCATAGAAATAATCTGGCTAATCTTTTTGTTTTATTTAGTTCCTCTTTGAAATCTACCAATTTGAGTTCCGTAGAAATAATCTAGGTATTTTTTATTTTATATGTTCTATTTGTTTGTATTAATTTTGATCATTTGATCTAAATCCAGCGTTTATAATAATTGAGTGATTCATGGACTTAAAACACTCGATTCTACCGTCATCGACGCCAATCGAGTGTTTTTGAGCCAACTCACGCTCGGACTGTGACAGAACCGCCCAATTCATATAAGATTAAGTATGACGGTCCCCGTTAAATATGTCGACACGCGCATACCGTCACTCAAATAAATCCGGTAGTCCGTTGAGTACCACGAAGAGTCTCAATAAATCAACTTCACAACTAAGATCGTACATGATTAAGGGAAACAACATGCATCATAATACATAGAGTTCACGGCGGAAGTTTAAGATACGAACAGAGTTCACAATACTTATTACAATACCGAGTTCAAATATGATACAAGAAAACAACATAATTTTGAAACTACATTATTGTCATAAGTCTAAATACATTGCCAGTTTATCAAACACCTCCAACAAAAGCAAGGTAAAGTAGTATAGAATACGGCCATGTCCGTTGGCCTTTATTCATCGGTGTCCATCGTGGGACTAAAGCAAATGATACAATAACCTTCATACAAAGTGTCACCTGCAACGAAGGAAATAAAACCCTGAGTACTCAATTATACTCAGCAAGACTTACCCGACAGAGAACAAAATAAAAGACTCCAAGGATATGTAAGGCTATATTTGGTGGTGTAAGTTGGATAGCAATACTTTGCACAAGAGCTTACTAAAGTGATTCTTACTTTCAAATTTTAGCTGCAAGATTTAGTTTTGAGCTATTAGGACTACATTAGCACTATCTTATACCATATAATTGAATTAAAGAGAATAGTAACCAATTATAAGAATAGTGCCCAATTATAGAGAATAGTAACTGTGACAGAACCGCCCAATTTATACAAGATCAAGTATGGTTGTCCCCGCTAACACGTTGACACACCCATGAGATCCGGTCATGTTGAGCAACAACATGAGACCAAGACTGATAGACATCCCGAGACGTGGGAAGGTTGGAGACAAAATAAACAAGATTCAAGGGACAGAGCCAAGGCACTGACTAAGGATTTAGTTGATAAGGCAACGACATGATCTGTGAGGAAAAGGTTTCAAAGCAGAGTAGATAGCGATTAGCGTTGCACCAGCTCATCAGTAGAAGAAGGAGCAATGAGATCTAACAAGGATTTTCGAGCAAGGTCCTTCCACACAAGAGTGGAACAACCACGACACATGCAAGCAAAGAAGGGGGCTAAGCTCGGGTCGAAGGTCCAGCAAAGGTAAGGGATAAAGGTCTTCGTAGCGCAACGTTCAAGGGCTAGCAACCACATGCACAGGCTCGGGCTCCTAAGAGAGAACTTAATTGAAAATGACAACCATGAGATTACCAAAACTTGGACGTGGTTCTAGGATAGCGCTCTTCAACACTCGTATGCTTACCGAGGACAGAAGGGGTGATAACTATGGCACTAATTAGATAACAAGCATACATACCCACCACTTGGCTAAACTAGAGGACATTATAGGTTAAGCATGTAACCACAATTATTTCTAGCAAGGCTAAGCACACACTTTTCTCAAGCACTTCCTATTCAAGCAACATGGAACAAGGCATTCTTGTTTAACTCCACACAAGGAAGATAGTGCAATACATCGATCACAAGTTACTTAGTACTCAGAACAAAGGAAGGGAAGCATATTTATGCACAAGCACAATCATGATGCATGCTCGTCCTATTCGTCCTCACGAAATTGCCAGCCTAAGGTGGCAATCACGTTCTATGTCGGTGGCATAACACATACTCTCTCGATATATAGCTAGTCGTCAGCTACATTCAATCTACGCATTCGTGGTTAGCGTACCTGTAGGCAAATTCATTGCAGCCCATCCCCACAAGAGATAAATAAGCGCACAATGAAAACAGTAAACTAAGATACTCTCCATATATACATCCCCAGATGTATATACTTTGATATCCATAGCTACCCGATAAATATACCCGCAATTAAGTACCTTCATATATACATGTGTGTAACATGTAAATATTCCAGTAGCCACAGCTAACTCTCCCTTAGACCGATAGTTGGACGGTCATGCTCTCATAACTCACACTTACCTGAACGTAGAGGCAATTGATCCATACATTACCATTCAAGCAAATGACATCCATACAATAGCACGCCGTATGGACGACGAAAGAAAAATTGCAATAAAGTACATCCCTTAAAGTTAGTACTTAGATAGCCACCTACTAGTCCTTAACTGGGCATAAAGGAAGATGTCGCTAGCATAGTTTTACAAATAAGTTTTGACAAATTTGCCTGTAGCTAAAGTTTTAGTTAAAATAGACTTTTTAAAACCAAAACTTGGCTTTTAAAACTATGTACCTGACAGTATTATGCTTAATCTCGCTCTGATACCAGCTGTGACAGAACCGCCCAATTTATACAAGATCAAGTACGGTTGTCCCCGCTAACACGTTGACACACCCATACTTTCACTCATATAAACCCGGTAGTCCGCTGAGTGTCCCGAAAGACCTCGGTAAATCAACATCACAACCAAGATCGCGTGATTAAGCAAATACACATCACATACATCGGGTTGCAGCGGAAATAATATTACAAAGGAGTTAACAATTAGTAGTACAAGTTTGGGGTTTCAAAACCGCTTAGTGAAAACAACATAGCTTTCAAATGATTACATTAATATAAGTTTCAAATATATTGCTAGCATAGTGACATCATCCGACAAAAGCATATAGATGAGAAGTAAGTATAGAATCACCGAGCCCACCGGTGGTTAGCCACCATCATCAACAGGTCGAGAACATCACC